GCAGTGTTCACAAACGACTGGCCGCATTCAGGACATCGACAGGTGCCATAGACTCGATTCCTTAAATGGTAAACTTTACATCAATAATGCAATGACAATAACAAACTGCAAATAAATCACAAAATCACCAACAATATAACTAAACACAACAATCACCTTCTCAATTTGATACCCTGCGGTAAGGGATCAATCATGCCATCAATATACAACGCTTCACCACTATCGCCATCATTCATATTACTCTCATCCATTTTCATACTATCATTAGTATTATCACTCATATTCATGTTGCTGTCTGAATGAATCGTATTCTCAACAACACCATCCAACACCTCAACCATCGCATATTTGTTACCCCCTTAATTATACAACCGATTGTATTATAGCAATCAACACTGTTTAATCACTTTCAAAACGAAACTTAACATCACATTGCATGATTAATTGCTAATTAAGATAACCAAAAATCAAATTCTAAAAGCTTCAATCACCATAAGGAACGACTATGAATATAAAGAAAAACATGGAGACAAAACACAAAACAATAAATGAGGTAGAATCAAAAATCCTGCATTGGTATTTAAAGGAATATGAAGGACCTTTGAGAAAAGCGCCCAAAGGGTGGGACGATCCCTTTGTGAAAATAGGAAGACGATTTATGGTATGGAGAGGGATCAGATGTGAAATGACTGTGATCGCTTTAAAATAAGATCACTTCTGAGGAGGTTAATACGATGGTGAAAAAATGACTTCACTGTATTCAATGTGAGCAATATTCAGAATCACAAATTTATCACTAAAAATATGAAAAGTAATTAAAACCTTGATCATTATTNAGACTCATCATTTTCCAGTACCAACGTCTCAGTGCCATCTTCGTTGGTTACCACTTGAATACTGCTCAGATGATCCAATTCTGAATTATCATTGAATAATATGACAGATACATTGTATAACGGATTCTTATTATTGTTGTTACTTGGACATCGAGTGGTTGTTTTGTCAATCGCTGTAAGCGATCGGCGGAATATTCATTTCATTAGGGTCAAGATTATTTGCTGGATTGATATTTGGCTACGAATAATTATGCAAAGTATTCACGTCAACTAATTAAATATTCGGTTGCGTTCACTTGGCCTGCTCGCCTAGCCAGCGGGGTGGCATAAATCAAGGCAAAAATAGTGCGAACGGAAACGCGAGCATTGTGGCCAGCAACGTTACAAACGTTTGATAGCCTGGCCAATCCAGGTAACCCAGGTAATATTATGTAACGAGTAATAAGCTTATAATAACACTGAGAGATATTTACCGACGTCAGGTGCTCCGTCCTCAACCACCACATAATATTCACCATCTTCACCTTGGACGATTTGTCCAACAGTGTCCTCTTCGATCATTTCAATTTCCGATTCATCAATCTGTATGATTTATTGTTGTTATTTATTATCACCAATTCTGAGTCATGATGGCAGTATTATTATGGTTACGATGACCATCATTCTAATTGCTTATTGCTCACTGGAAGTTATGTATTGTTATTGCAGTTTGTAATGGTAGGTTTTTCGATGACCACCAGATGAACACCGAAATGTATGAATCGTCAATAAATACGTTGACCGTTTCATGACAAATCATTCCTTATAATGTGTTTTGAATATTAATTCGTGCAATTTGATTTTAACATTCATTTTTTCAACTGCACATTTGAGTATCGCTTAATACTCGTGATATGTCCATGATGCGGTTTAGCATTTTACTGCTTGCATTCTTTTAAACTGTATTCACGAATACTCTTATGATAAGAGTAGCATTTCTCCTCACTCTTTAAGCTTTAAACTGAATAAATTTTTTGGAACATTGATATGACAAGAATTACGTCTCAAGACAAGACAACGCATAGCCAGCCGATCAGTTTCATTGTTAAGTTGAATGCCTCTTATAAGCCCGGTATCAAAAATGAAGTTAGTTCAATCCCGCTTTATTCATGTTGACTGATTGAATTTACATTTTCTGAGCCTGAGCCTGGAGGTGGAGATCCAGCTTATTTGCAAGCAGAGAAAGTTGATATAAGTATTTGCTTAAATGTATAACATTTTGCACCTAATGAATAAGAAGCATCATAAATCATTCGAGGAATACTTGAGTATCTGACCAAACAAATAATGAATACAAGTTTACGTTTGCATTGACCATTAGGTTCATATCGTTGACATTTTGCTGCATCATTTGATTACTTCCATCACCAACAATATTACTCTCATCATGTTTACTTATATCTGATTGTTGCTGCTGATTGTGATCTGCAACGTTCTCCTGTCTCAAACATCCTTCGATTGAATCCTCTGAAACTTCATTCATTCAGCTGTTCATCTTTCATTACATCTTATTTGACTGTCAAAATTTTCTCCAGTACTTTCCCAGCTCTAACACATAGTCGCAGTAGCTGGCGTTATGGCTTGATCGGTAGTGCTGTGGTAAGTCTATCACGAAAAGAGTGGCGGGTTCGGTGCTCGCTGATCTATTATGATCGATTCAAGACACGACATGAGAGCGAAAATTGGCTCGACTGGGTTTTGCAATCTATTTTTGTTTGCTACGAAATATTGGTCAAAGTAGACAATCGCCGAT